AATTTTTTCTATGTATTTTTAGTTGTCCAATTAATTTCTTTCTAATTTTGGTAGAGACGGGGGTCTTGCTCTTGCTCAGGCTGGTCTCGAACTCCTGCGCTCAAACAATCCGCCCACCTCGGCCTCCCAGAGTGCTAGGATTAAAGGCGTGAGCCACCGCGCCTGGCCAATCATTGTGTTTTGATTATGGGTGCATTGTTAAGATTTATTTTTTTCTGCTACAATCATTTCTAACAAGCTCGATTATTTTAGCTTTTTAGCCTGTGCCATCTTAAGCAAAATTTAGAGGCATGAGATGAAAGTGCAGACAGGAATTAGATATAAAAGCTGATATGTATGAGTGATAAAACCTAAAAAGCTGCATGGACTGGAGCAAGTAACTCATACCTTTCAGTAGCCACTGAAGAAGAAACTACGAAAAGGGTATGATAATTGGTGTTCATTATGATTGCTCTAAATCGCTAAGGTGCGTTTTTCTAGTGCACTAGCTTCAAAGAAAAATTCAGGTGTTTTTCATCAAGATTTGTAGTAAATTTTTCACATACTGTTTAATAATATTAGATTAAGGAGGAGAAAAGCTGATAACCTGATGTTCAAAGAAGGAATTCTTAGGCCATCTGAAAGCTAATATGAGAGTTGAACTCTCATGCAACAAGAAGAGGTGCTTCTGTTGAGTGCCTTCTATGTGCTAACTGGTAGATCAAAGCCAGTAAGAATCACCAGTCTTTGCCCACTAGGGCCTCAGGATAAAATAGAGGAGACCCATGTAAATATAGAATCACAGTAAAATATAAGTGCTCCGTAGAAGGATTGTGCGAGGTAGGGTGATGGTTCAAAAGACCATACAAATCTTGGGGAAATACTGGCGGTAGACTGGAGAATGAATGCAGGGAATCACGTTCAGAGTGTTTTCAAGGTCACTGTAGTAATAATGCAGGTGAGAGGAGGGCCTGAACTAGGACCCTACTGTGGATAGGAACAAGAAGATGGGGATTTCGTTAGATAGGAACGCTGCATCTTGAACAGTTTTTGTTTTTATACAAAGAATGAGAACTTGCTAGCAAAACATCAGGTTTAGGGTAAGCTACAAGTGCTAATGTTGAAGCATTGAAGAATTTTCTCACAAATGTAATTAAAATGCAGAGGTCTGTTACTGTTTGGGACAGGTATTTACCATTGATAAAACTGTATTTTTGGAAAGCTGACTTTGGTAAGGAAGAAAAATTTTATTGCTTTTGTTTTTTTTTTTTTTTGAGACAGAGTCTCATTCTGTTGCCCTGGCTAGAGTGAGTGCCGTGGCTTCAGCCTAGCTCACAGCAACCTCAAACTCCTGGGCTCAAGCGATCCTCCTGCCTCAGCCTCCCGAGTAGCTGGGACTACAGGCATGTGCCACCATGCCCAGCTAACTTTTTCTATATATATTTTTTTAGTTGTCCAGATAATTTCTTTCTATTTTTAGTAGAGACAGGGTCTCGCTCTTGCTCAGGCTGGTCTCAAACTCCTGACCTTGAGCGATCCACCCGCCTCGGCCTCCCAGAGTGCTAGGATTACAGACGTGAGCCACCGCACCTGACCTAGGAAGAAAAATTTTAAACATTGACTATGCAGCTGGGTAGGAGGAATCACATATTGCAGTTGACTGCAAATTGAAACTGTTGCCTTAACTTTATCCTGCCAAGAATACAAGAGCAGTACCCTTTAATTAATGAACTAATGTCTTTTGAAGAACCAATTCTCAAGCTTTGATTTTCACTCCACTTTGTTCCACAGGTGAAGAAATGATAGCATTTAAAAAGTCTTAACAGCTGGCTTTTGGTAATGTTCCAGGCTGTCTTCTGAGTCTTAAGAAGCAGCATCATGACGCTAGAGTAGTTTTTCTTATTCCCCAATTCACCTCCACAAAGCATCTCGCTGACTTTAGCCAATAGATAAGTAAGTTGTTGCATTCTGTATTTTTATTTGTGAAATTTTCAAAGGCCAATTAAAGTAATCAACAAAGAGGATGGATCAAAAAAGAATTTTGGAAGTGTTTTGGATATGTGAAAATCGTAAGTAAAGCCTGGAACTAAGAATTTGGAGAAAACTGCCTCATTCAGTGTTTTTGAAGGCATTTGTATAACTGTAAAAAGCATCATTGAAACTGACTTTGCTGAGTGAGTGGATCCAGAAGTTTCTCCTGCAAACCTGGTTGTATTGTTAGAAATTTCTCAGAAGCTCAGTGAAGTAAATTTTTATAAAAATGGAAGAGTAAGACATCATTGGAACTGTCCCTCTCCCAGCATTTAGCTTTCAAAAACATTGAGAGGTATTCATCTGAACATCATTGAACTTTTTCTTTCTTTGTGGCAGATGACCCTAATTTTCAATGCAGTTCAAAGGTCTCTGGAGTAAGGAAAAATATCTATGTATGCTCTAGGAAGATTTACCAAGAAAAGATGACATGTTCTGTCCAAACTTCATTAAACTAAGAGTCAAGAAACCTCGGCCAGTCCAGCCCATGAAGAGAAATACCTCAAAAGGAACACTTATGTCATATTTCATATTGTTTAGTTTTATATGGTTAATAAACATTTTGAAGAGCATGTATTTGTTTTGAGGTTGGACATTCTTATGGTACGAAATGGGTTTCCAGGCCTGAATTCCAATTCCAATTTATGCCTACTCGATTATTACGGAAATGGGAAATACAGGTACAGGGTACAACTCAATTCAGTATGATTATCCACGAGAGGAGTCACCTTTTTGCAGGTGACAGTATGGAGACTCAAGGGAGTTAACTTAGGAACTCGGTTTAGTATGTGGCAGAGCCAGACTTTCAAGTCAGATCTTATAGCAAAGAATTGTGCTTCTTCCAGACACACAAAAGTTGAGGACAAATACTAAGTAAAGGACAGAGTTCAGGCAGCAAAGAAGAGTAAGAAGGAGCAGTCTGAAAATTAAGAAAATTGGAAGGAATCTGAGAGACCAAGAGAAATTTGAAGGAGAAATTGATTGACTATATAGAAAAGATTAAGAAATGACTCAAAGCTCTGTGAAGGCATCTAGAGGTCATTAGGAGATCTTTGGTAAGCAATGTCAGTAAAGGGAAAACAAAACCCACATTACAGTGGTTTGGGATGTAAACAGTAGATGAAATAGAGACAGCAAGTACAAATCATTTTCAAGAAGCATGGCTGGAAAAGATGGGGAAGGGAGGAGAGGGCTATAGTTAGTGGGGAATCTTCTTTGGGTTTGTTGTTTTTGCTGTCATTTCTTGTGTGCTAAATGTTTTACACATAATGACATTTAATCCTCATAAGAACTCTGACAAAACCCCCGTCTTATAAATGATATTTAGAGAGGTAAAATAAGTTTCCCTGATTACATAGCTACAGTGTCGGGATACAAAACTAAAGTGTTTGACTGAACCACTAGCCAAAGTCGTAGTCAGTCCTCTAATCCTGGAGCAGAGAAGGAATGAGTGTGGATGAGACAAGTTTGGAAGTGTTTTGGAGGATGCAGGAAATGAGAGAGAGGGGAATTCCAGTGTGATGGCCTCTCCTCTGAAGTTGGAATTGAGTCCCATGAACTCAAAGTGTCGCAGGGGCCTGAGGACAGAGGCACATGTATGGAAGGAAAGCCATGTCACTCCACTGCCCTCTTTCCTTCTGAATGAGGTTGTTAAAAAGTCTTCAGGGTATGTTATATAGCTATTTAAAGTGTTTTAAGGAGCTTTTATGAATTAGAGAAATGCCTGTGCAATAATAAAGTAAAACAACCAGCAAGTTGAGCCTTGCACAGTGGTTCATGCCTGTAAGCACTTTGGGAGGGAGGATCCCTAGAGGCCAGGAGTTTGAGACCAACCTGGGCAACATAGTGAGACCCCTGTCTCCGGAAAAAAAAAAAAAATAGCTGGGCGTGGTAGTGTGCACCTCAGGAAGCTGAGGCAGGAGGATCTCCTGGCTTGAGCCAGGAGTTCGAGGTTACAGTGAGCTATGATCAGACTACTGTACTCCAGCCTGGGTGGACAAACAAGA